TCTACCTCTCATCTCACTAATGATTTGAGTAACTTGCATCTGTACCAACCTTATCAAGGTCAGGATAAAGTATTGATTGGAGATGAAAACACTCTTCCTATCCACAACTCTGGCACTGGTATCTTGCCCACACCTGATTTTACTTTTAAGCTTAATAATATGCTTTATATTCCTCAAATTTCTTCTAATGTATTATTTGTGCATCAACTCACTTCTAATAATAACTATACCGTTACATTTAATGATAAGTCCTTTATTGTTCAGGACAAACTCAGTAACAAGGTACTTTGTAGAGGTCATCATCACAATGGATTGTATCAGTTACTGTCTCCTACCTCCACATTTCCTAAAGCTTTTTCTAGAACTAGCTCTCTTGCTCATCTTTGGCATAAGAGACTAGGACATTCTTTTACTGCTGTTTTTCATAATATTGCAAATAAGTGTGGTTTTTCATTTTCTCATAAAGAGTGTAATTCTTCTTGTCATCAGTGTTGTGTGTCAAAAAGTCACAGACTTTCTTTTGTCTAATAAAACCACTGTACCTCTTGCTTTAATTCACTCTAATGTTTGAGGTCCATTTGCTTATACTAATGCCTCTTATACTTACTAGGTTGTCTTTATTGATGACTTTAGTAACTTTACTTGGCTATATCCTCTGTCCTATAAGAGTGAGGTGTTTTCCAAGTTTGTCGAATTTAAGGCCTATGCTGAAAGACAATTCTCTACCTCTTTACAAGTCTTCAGAACTGATGGTGAGGGTGAATATACTAATGGTCCATTTCAGAATTTTCTAAAGCAGGTTGGTATTATTCATCAAATGAGTTATCCTTATACTCCTTCTCAAAATGGAGTGGCTGAGAGAAAACATCGTTACCTAATTGAAACAGTTATTGCTTTGCTTGATCAGTCTTCTGTACCTCTCAAGTACTGGTTTGAGGCCCTTGCTACTGCAACTTATTTGATTAATACCAATCCTAAACTAGGCAATCGTAGTCCATTTGAACTTCTCTTCCATACACCTCCTGATTATGCTTTTCTTAAAGTTTTTGGCTGCAAGTGTTACCCCTGGTTAAGGACTTATACCTCTCACAAACTTCAACCTCGATCTAAACAGTGTGTGTTTCTTGGTTATCATTCTAGTTACAAAGAATACAGGTGTTTGGATCCTCTCACTGGCACTGTGTATGTTTCTAGACATGTTGTGTTTGATGAACATTCTTTTCTTTTTGCTTCTTCTACTTCTCCAGCACTACTTTTTTCTAAGGCTGCTACCAAGGTTTTTTTTTGGGGTTCTTCTCCTTCTGTCTATTCTTCATCTGATTCTTCTTCTCATTCTTCCCAGATTTCAGATAGTTCTTCCTCTACTAGCGTTTTTGCTTTTGATTTTTCTATACCTGCCAGTCTTTCTTCTCCTCTTTCCCATTCTCCTCATGGTATTCATTTGACTATTCCTATCTTACCTCCTCCTCAACCTTCTCTTAATTCTCATCCCATGATTACTAGGTCTAAAGCTGCTTGTCTTTCTGCTTCTCTTCTCACTTCTAAACCTTCTTCTTACAAACTTGCTCTTCACAGTTCTCATTGGTTTCAGTCTATGCAAAAGGAGTTTCAGGCTCTTCAAAATTAACACACCTGGACACTAGTTCCTTCTCTTGTTCATCAACATGTGGTGGGTTTCAAATGGGTCTTTTGTATTAAAAAGGACTCCAATGGCAATATTGTTAGGTATAAATCTAGGCTTGTTGCCAAAGGTTATAATCAAGAGGCGGGCATTGATTTCTTGGTTACCTTCAGTCCTGTTGCTAAACAGCCCACCATCAAGGTTTTCTTGTGTATTGCTCTTCAACATGCCTATTCAACAGCTTGATGTGTCTAATGCTTTTCTCCATGGCAAGCTTGAAGAAGATGTTTTTATGGCTCAACCTTCAGGGTTTGAAGACTCTCACTTTCCCACCTATGTTTGCAAGCTTAACAAAGCTCTCTATGGTCTCAAGCAAGCATCAAGAGCTTGGTTTTCTACCTTTTCCTCCTTTCTTCTTACTTTGGGTTTTATCAATAGTCATTGTGATCACTCTCTCTTTGTTCAGGCTTCTACTTCTTCTTTAACATATCTCTTAGTCTATGTTGATCATATTCTTGTTACAGGCAATTCTCCCTCTCATATTTAGTCTCTTATTTCTCAGTTACACTCAGTTTTTTCCCTTAAAGAACTGGGATCTCTATCTTATTTCCTAGGCACCTCAGTCTCCTCTCATTCTCTTCGTACCTTTTTATCACAGTCTCATTATGCTTCTACTTTCCTTCACAGAGCTGGCATGTCTGAGTGTAAGCCTATTTCTTCTCCTTTTTCTGTTAAAGCTTCTTGTTCTTCTTCCCCTTCTTCTGTTCCTTGCTCTAATCCTTCTCTCTATCGAAGTCTTGTTGGAGGTCTTTAGTACTTAACCATCACTAGGCCTGATTTGGCTTTTGCTATCAACCAAGCCTGTCAGCATATGTATAATCCCACTCAGGAAGATTTTGGTGTTGTCAAAAGGATTCTCAAATTTGTCAAAGGCACCTTACATCATGGCTTATCCTTCTCTTCTAGTTCTTTTAATGTTCATGTGTTCTCAGATGTTGACTGGACTGGCAGTCCTACTGACAGACGGTTTACTACTAGTTTTTGCATTTTTTTGGGCTCTAATTTGGTGTCTTGGGTTGCTAAGAAACAACCCATAGTGGCTAGATCCCCCACGGAAGCTAAATATAGGTCTATGGCTCAATCAAGTACAGAGGTGTCTTGGCTTCAAATGCTTTTTTGTGATATGCATATCTTTCCTTCATCTGTCCCAGTGTTGTGGTGTGACAATTTGTCTGCTCTCTCTCTGGCCTCTAACCCAATTTTCCATTCTCGGACCAAGCATATAGAAATTGATTATTATTTTGTTCGTGAGCAGGTCTCAGCCAAGCAGTTGCTCATCCGATATGTTTCTTCTTCTGACCAACTTGCTGATATCTTTACCAAACCATTACCTATGACTCGGTTTCTCTTCTTACAGTCCAAGGTTTTGGTTGGTCCTCTACCCTTTAGCTTGCAGGGGGCTGATAACTCTATTGGATCTATAGAGGCAGAGGCCAAGTCTAAGTCTAACCAGGTTGCTGCCGCTGTAGCTACGACTGGTGGGCATGCTGAGGCTAGTTCTGCAGACAAATGTAAAAGGTGTTCAAATGATCTTGCAGGTGTATCACAATACTATAGAGCCGCTATAACATATTAATTCTCTTATAAAAAACTCCAGGGGAGTTAGATATTAGTTAAATATTTTGTGTATAAATAACTACCTTGATCATATAGATCTGTAATGAACTAAATATCAAATATAGATATTTTCTCTTTCTATTTCCTCTGTTCTCTGGTTCTGCTTCGTCATCGAGAAAAAAAAATTACAAAATACAAAAAAAGAAAAAGAAAAACGCACACGCATTTTCATTTTATTTTATTTTTTGTTTTGTTTCGTGAAACTTTTTTTAGATTTCTTCGCAACGTCACCAAATGTTTCCCACATATGTGAGTAAAATTATTGGTGCTGAGGCAATGTTGAGACACTTTCAAAAATAAAATAAAAATAAAAAGCAATGTTGAGATATTTTGGTGACAAAAGACTAGGTCAGTCACCAATATCTTGTACATGATCTGAACTAAAAAAATCTTTTACATGAGTGTCCTTAATTTTATTGTTTCTTTTGTTATTTCTTCTTATTAATTTTAATAAAATATTTTTTTTTTCCAAGCAAAAGAAACTTTATAATTTATAGTTAAACCGTTGCAAATGAAAAACTTTTACAATGCAATTAGTTCTTCCTTCTTCAATTGCAAAAAAAGTGACTAAAACTATTTTTTTTTTCCCATCAGAAAAAGAGTTTTATTAACTCAATTACAATATTCTCCAATTCTTCTTATCCATTTTGCAACATTCTCCAAATCATTCTTGATTCTTCTTTATTTTTTTCCCCTATAGTTTTCTAAATGTCAAAATAAAAATGTGGGCATCATTGTGACAAAATGATGCAGTTAGGCCATGTTTGATTCACAACACTAATAATGAGGTATTAATAATCTTATTAAATTAGTATGGTATTAACTATCCCATCCCTACCACATTACTAATAATCCTACAAATTTGTTGGATTAATTATCCATTGGATTAATAATCTTAAACCAAAATGTCAAAACAAATATAGGATGATTGGACCCACGGATTAATAATCTTAATCCCATACTTTAATCCTTCCAATCAAACATTGGATTAATAATCCTAAACCAAAATGTCAAAACAAATATAGGATGATTGGGCCCATGGATTAATAATCCCAATCCCATGCTTGATTGGAAGGATTAAAGCATGGGATTGGGATTATTAATCCGTGGGCCCAATCATCCAATATTTGTTTTGACATTTTGGTTTAGGATTATAAATCCAATGAATAATTAATCCAACAAATTTGTAAGATTATTAGTAATGGGGTAAGGGTGGAATTATTAATCCAATGAATATTAATCCAATCGGATAGTGAATACTACACTAATTTAATAAGATTATTAATATTTTATTATTATTATTGTAAATCAAACCTGACCTTACTGTACTATTCAAATGGCATCAACATTGACCCTTTTTGTTTTTTGACCAGGGGGAGGGAGCACCCTAGGAATCAACCCCAGATCATGAGAAAGGCACAACTATTGCTTTTATCACAGTACCATCGCCTTCGCTAGCCGTCATCATATACAACACGAATGTATTTTTGATAAAAAAGAGAGGGCAATTTCGTAATGTCAACAGTGATAGGGCTGTGATCCTCACCTAGGTTGGGAAAAGTTGTCTAGGTTACAAAACTCATGGGGTCCTCACCCAACTAAGCCTTTTACATTCTCTCTCCCCAAAACACACTCTTTGTTTTTTTGCACTTTTTTGCTATATAAATGAGTAAGCATATCAACATTGCATATGGGTCTCCCTCCCTCTCTCTCTCTCTCTCTCTCTCTCTCTCTCTCTGTCCTATATTGGTTCAGGTTGTGGCATAAGAAGGTGGGGTGTTGAGCAAGATGGAGAAGCAGGGCACGTGCGTTACTAACTCATGTCCACATATTAGTGACCCCATTTTGCCTACACTTAGCAGTCGCTAAAGAGATTTTGCGACAATTTTTCACAATTGGCCAATGCAAAAAGTTTTTTTTTTTTTTTTTTTTTTTTTTTTTTTTTTTTTTTTTTAAAGTACTATAAGGCATATATCTTCATCACTTCCAGCAGTTATGGGTTGTCAACTAATATGCTTTTAGTACACCATAATGAGTTAGTACTTCATGTGCCCCTCTTCCCCATCATGACCACTCGACCTTAATCACCATTCGATAGCAAATTATTAGTTCGTTGGTTATCGTTGTTGAATCATTCAAAGCAGTTCATATATTCCGGCAAAGCTTCATTTTCAGGTCAGTCATTGTACATAATTGTAGAAAAATTTGATGAACACTTCGTTAGGGTGTGTTGAAAATTCAAAGTGTATGATGATTATAAGGATAATGATCGAGAAAAAAATGTTAGGTCAATTTTACACGCATCCAGTGGTCCTAGATTATGGTTAGTGTGATTTTCAATGAAGGTGAGAGAACTATTGACTTAGTAAAATTAGACCTTTTTCGGGCATGCAGGATATGGTGATCATCTGCATCTTTCTATGCTATGCTCTCTCTGTCTCTCTCAGTTTCAATAGAGATAAAACGCTATAGTGCCTAAGAAGAAAAAAAATTGTTTATTTAATGAGAGTCCAGATATAGGTTTTTATTTTATTTTGATAACTCGGTATCTATTCTTAGGGATCGACTAATCTGGAGACTAATCCCACTGTTCACTGTCCAAATAGTAGAACTGCAATAAACTTTGTTTGATGTATTGCTAAAGTAATTAGCTTTGATGCCACAGTTCAGTGTGTCAAGAAACTAAACATTGAGGGCATAATTTTAAATATCGGTATGGGTATGTATTTTATTAAAAATATAATCATATATAGGGCTGATATTAGATATTATCAATTAATATATTAAAAAAAACATCAGTTTTGAAAGTTCAAACTGCCGATATATGTCGGCTGAGTTTCATAGGATTAATCCTTGGACTGTTGGGTCCTTAGTAAGTAACTGAGGGAATATCACTAATTTAAGATAGAAAATGGGAAACTTAAGTAACCACATTGGTGGCTAAGATATCATACTGTACAATTGAAAGCTCCAGAAGCTCCAAAATTTGGAGGACTTGTTGAGGAGCAGTGTTCCAATGCAATTTTATTTATTTATTTATTTATTAAGGCAAAGTATATCTGGCTAACATGTTATATATGAGTAATGTTGGGAATTCTAAATATTTTATCAAATATCTTGCATAAGTAAGAGACTCACATGGTATGAGTCCTACAATCATGTAAGATATTTGGTAGAATATTCAGTATAATATTTAGAATTCTTAATATTTTTCTACATATATATACTCAAAATGAAGTTTATATTATGAAATTTCCTAGATGCGTCTAAAAATTCATTTGGGATGTGGGTTGATTTTTTGACTTTTTAACTTTTTTTAACTTGGGACTAAAAGACCTCGTTTAGAATAGATTTTTTGACTTTTTTAAGAGAAAATGAAATATATATAATTTGAATGTAATATTTTATTTTATTAAGTTAAAAAATTTATTTACCTTTTTGTGTCTATTTTAACCGAAAAATTACCATTCAACTTACGCCAAACAAGGGTTAAATGTCACAGAAAGGATCAATACTTTAAGCAACGGGCCCCCATAAGTGGTTGTCAAAGGTTTTTTTTATTCCACCTTTCACTCCCTCCAAAGATAAAGGCTTTAATTTGGATAACAACAGTAAAAGGTTTCAACAAAAGTTTATAGCTCATATTTATTTTGATTGTGACATAAAGCTCAAAATTGAAATATGAACCAAATTTAGTGAGGGTCACGTTATACCGAACTTAAATTTATATATTCAGGCATGTTCCGTAGCTCGAATTTTATTTGGTTTGAGTGACTTGACTGTCCAAAACGATATCGTTTTGGATAATTTTTTTTTTCTCTCTCTCTGAAGAAGAAGAGAAAGAAGAAGAAGAGGAAGGATGAGGAAGAGAGAAGAGGAGCTGAGAGAATGAGAGAACAAACAGAACAGAACATCATCATCATCTTCATCTTCATCTGTACAACAACATCATCTTCATCAACAACACCCATAGGGATGGCAATTTAAACCTGGCCCGACGGGGACCCGCCTCCCCGACCCTGATTCGAGCGATTTTTTCTCAAAAAATACCCCTGAGGGGCCGGGGATGGTATTTAAAAATGAATCCCCGATCACTTTCGGGCAGGGAACGGTGATACGTTTTCCAGCCCCGTCCCCGGCCCGACCCCCGCCTCGCTTCTCCCCCCGAAATAAAATTACTACTTTACCCCTATGTATATATATATATACATATATATGCGTGTCTTGATCTTGGCAGAGCCACTTCGCTGCTGCGTGAGAAAAAGGGAGTGAGAGGAAGGGAATGAAGGAAGGAGGGAGAAAGAGAGAGCCGATCCTCCACCGTCGCCGATCTCCTCCGCCGAGAGAAGAGAGCCGTCCTCTTGACAATGCCGATCTTCTCTACCTACTCCTTTGACGATCTGCTCCGTTGCCCTTCTCCGCCGACTCCTTCGCCGATCTCCTCTTCACAGCGTCGTCGATCTCTATCCCTCTCTCTTTCTCTGTGTTATACACACACATATATATGTATACATATTACAGATTGAAGCTTAGATCTTGAGATCTATGATGAATTGATGATGATAATGTTGTTGATTTTTTTTTTTTTTGTGGATCTGTTGGTTTTTTTTTTCTTTGTTCTGTTATGTTCCGTTTTTTTTATATTTTTTATGTTGTTGATGATGATACATGATGATGATGATGATATGTTGGTGTTAATCAATGATCTCTCTGTTTGTCCATGTTGATCTTCTTTTTTTTGATCCTCTAGCTTCAAAGCAGTTTTTCAAAAAAAAAGGGGTCGTTCGGGGTCAGGAAAACCCGATCCCCAGTAGGGGGGGCGGGGGGTGGATATAGGCTCCCCGTCGGGGATTGGGGCCAGGGACGGAGGGATTTTCACCATCGGGGATCGAGGACAAGGAGTGTGATCCCCGGCCCTACCCTGCCCTGTTGCCATTCCTAAACACCCATCAACAACACATTTATCACCCATTACAGAACATCATCATCATCTTCATCAGTATAGCAACATCATCTTCATCAACAACACCCATCAACAAACATTTATCACCCATTTATCACCGATCAACAGATCTAGATCCACCAGAAGGAAAGATAAAAATATATATATATCAACATCTTCATCAATACATCATCATCATCATCAACAACAACATCTTCACCAACATCAACATCATTTTCAGATCCAGATTCACTAGGAAAAAAAAGAAAAAGAAAAAAAGTAAAGTTTTGATCGGCGATTGGCGATCACTGCCATCACCGCCGATCTTCCTCCTCCGCCATCACCATCTCCATCTCCATCTTTTCCCCTTCACTCTTCCTTTTCTCTCCTCTCTCTCTCTCTCTCTTGCCTCCTCTCTTCCTCTTTTCTCCTATCTCTCTTTTTTCTGTCTCTCTATTCAAAAAGCAAGAAAAGGCCAAAAAAAAAAAAAATCGAAACTCAAAACGCCGTCGTTTTGAGTTTCGACCCAAATTCGAGTCACCGAATTTCGAGTTACGAATTATTTTTCTTATATATTTTGGTCAAATATTCTTTTCTTGATATAAAATATTTTTATAATGAAAAATGTTTTGCAAAGTAAAAATTTTATATAAAAAGATTCCACCAAAGTAACGTGGCAGTTATATTTTTTAAAATAATAAATCACATTGATGGGACTTTTGATTTGAAATAAATTAATACAAAACTATTAAGTAAATATTTTATGTACTTTTTCTATCTCAAAATAATAGTCTTTTTCGAGGAATTTAATTTTTTTTGATAGTATAATTATTCGAATTTCGAGTTACGAATTATTTTTCTTATATATTTTGGTCAAATATTATTTTCTTGATATAAAATATTTTTATAATGAAAAATGTTTTGCAAAGTAAAAATTTTATACAAAAAGATTCCACCAAAGTAATGTGGCAGTTATATTTTTTAAAATAATAAATCACATTGATGGGACTTTTGATTTGAAATAAATTAATACAAAACTATTAAGTAAATATTTTATGTACTTTTTCTATCTCAAAATAATAGTCTTTTTCGAGAAATCTAATTTTTTTTGATAGTATAATTATTCCATTTGAAAAAAGTTGATTTTCAAAATTACCCTTTTGATAGTACATTTTTTGAGAATATCAATGTCATAATTGTTCTTTTTATATTATTTATTAATTTAAAAGATGGGCAAAATAAGAAATCTATATTATTTTTGTACTTAATTTTTGAAGATAGACTAATATTTTGAGACAATAAAAAATAAAATAAGGAACTAATATTTTGAGACGTCTATGTTTCATTAATCTTTTTCTAATATGGAGATGTTGTAGTGTTGGAAATTGACACACCAAACTTAGCTACAAATATCAAAATACTTGTATTCTAAAATTCGAGTCCATGATGAATGTTCAGTATTTATCAAGATTTACGATACTTAATCTTTAGAATATCATTTTTACATGACCACGTTAAAAAATAGAAAACTTGAAAAAAAACATAATCCTTTATTTTTAATCCTAAAAAAATAAACAAATAAAAAAGTTCAAAATTCATAATTTTATCAATAAAAATAATATACGGTTTAAATTTAGGTCCAGCTTGTCTTCAGTTGAAAGTCAAGGCTGGACCATCTAGTCCGCTCGGTGGGCCCATTTTTGGGCCTCGCTTTGATAATTTTAACCGTTCACGTTTTAAAGTTCGACGAGTACATTATCTCTGTAAAAAATTAAGTTGATCGGATAACGACAATTTCGTGTTTAAATCAGTTTTATATGAACCGTTCATTTTTTCACCTTCTGTTTTGTTTATACAAAACTTATTCAAGAACGTAATTGTCATTATCCGATCGACTTAATTTTTTGTAAGAATAATATACTCAATGAACCCTAAAATGTGAACGGTTTGAATTATCGAAACGAAATTCAAAAGTGGATTTATAGAGCGAACTGGACAATTCAATCTTAATTTCCAATAGGAGACAAGCTGGACCTTCAAATTTATTGAAAGCATGGATCCCACCATAAAATACTTGAATCCAAAGCATATACCATTTTTTAAGATACCTAAAATTATGAATATATTGCTGCAAAAGCAAGTCTGAGGATAAAAGAGAAAAATATCACAATGGACAAAGTCCATCAATTTTGTCCGAGATCCTAATTACAGATGGTAATATAAAAAATCAACATCTTGAAATAATTAAAATATTTTTCTTTCTCTTATTGTTATTCTTCGATTATGATATTGTCAGAAATGAGGTTACTACCGTGCTCAGTTGTTCCCTTTGTGAGATTCACTTTTATAATCCAAACCCTTCACGTTTTGAAATTCATCAATTGGTATATCCCTATAAAAAAATCATGTTAATCAGACATTTATAACCTTTTGATCAAAACTTATTTATATCTGAAAAAATAAATGATAGGTATGATTTTGAGTGTTAATCTAAATATAAATATGTTTTGATCTAAAGGTTACCAATGTCCGATTAATTTGATTTCTTATAAGGATATACTATTCGACGAACTCTTAAAAGTGAATGATTCAGATTATCGAGTTAGAACCCGAAGTGAATCGCACGGACAGAACTGTTGTCACAACAATCATCTCATCTCTAATACTGTCAGCTACTATATATATATATATATAGATTGGCTTCCCTCCCGTCTGTGATTGGACTGGAGGGTGTTGTTGGGTCCGTGGGGCCCACCATGGATCCCGTTTTGATAATGCGAACCGTTCAATGTGTAGAACCTGTCGAGCACTATATACTTGTAAAAAATTACGTTGATCGGATATCGATAACTATTTCATCGGATCAGATTTCTGTCAACCATTTATTTTTTCACTGTTCATTTTTATTATACAAAATTCATTTGATCACATAGCTATCGATATTCGATCAACGTGATTTTTTATCGGTATATAATATTTAACGAATTTTACACATTGAATGATTCAAATTATCAAAACGAGACTCGTGGTGGGCTCCACAGGCCCAACATCATCCTCTAGTCTGTGATTGGACTTAAGAGTGTAAAAATGGCTCGCAACCCGTGGGTGGCTCAAAGCCCACCAGCAACTCGGGGTAAGCCTGGCCCGTTTCGGCCCGTTTGGGCCAGAGCTTGATCCCAACCCGAGCCCCTGGGCCTGGGCCGTCATTTTGAAACCCGACCAAACTTGTGGGCCCGACCCGCCTAGCCCAGCCCGCTTAAGGCCCACTCAAGGTTAGACTCGCTCGAGACCCAGTGTCTTTTTTAATAGAAAATAATAAAATTTTGATAGAAATAATTTTTAAAAATAAAAATAAATGGTCAGGCATGCCCAAGCCCGAGGCTAGGCCTAGGCACACTAGCCCGCCCAAGGCTCGAATACCCTTGGGCCTAGGCTTGGTCCTATTTTTTGGCCCATAGGTCGGCCAGGCCCTACCCTGCTCGAATTTTGACTGAAGCTCGTGAGGCTCAACATAGACTAGGCCGAATCAAATTTATACCTCTAATTGAACTGAAGGGAAGCCAACCCCCACATATATATATATATATATATATATATTCTGTTGTTCCTAAAAAGTTGATGGCTTTCCATTATGTATATGCAATTCGGTATCACTAACCAACAAGCGTTACATCACAAATAGACAAAAGATTTTCATAGACTAGATATAAATATGGGCAAATTACATATACACCCCTCCAGGTTTGACAAAATTACAGATACCCCCCTGAGGTTTGAGAAATTACGAATTCCCCCCTGAATGCTATATTTGCATAAGAAATTAGGGGGTAATTTGTTATGAAATATAAACCTCAAGGGGTAAATTGTTATGAAAATACAAACCTCAGGGGGCGGGATGTAATTTCCGAAACCTCAGGGGGGTATCTGTAATTTAACCAAACCTGGAGGGGTGTATATGTAATTTGCCCTATAAATATTGCACAGAGATGCAAGACTCACTTAGAGGTAGGACTTCATGTAGGTCTCACATAAAATCGGTCCTATCTTTTTTAGTCTCACATGTGTATTTCGTTGTGTAAATTTTTTTTGTGCATTTAGATTCATGGGTGAATTATACTAATAGTCTCTATAATTTGAAACTTATGTCATTTTGATTCATGATTTTTTAATTGTGATATATTTAATTCTGAATTTTGAATCTTGTTCCAAATAAGGACAACTGAAAATATTATTAGATTTTTCAAAGATAAAATCGTCAATTTGATAAAATATAAACTAATTTGATAAAAATAAATGTCAAACGTATATTTTTGAATTTTTAAAAATTATTTCTACCCACTAAAATTAAAATTATATAAAATTGATAAAACTTTTAGACATTTATTTATTTTTTTTATCAAATTAATTTTTATTATGTGATTGGATAATAATCATATAAAATTAATTTTACATAATTTTATCATTAGTGGATATAAATAATTTTTTAAAAATTAAAAATATTTTTTGACATTTATTTTTGTCAAATTAATTTATATTTTATTAAATTGACAATTTTTCCCTTGAAATTAAACAATAATATCTTCAGTTGTCTTTATTTAGAACAAAATTCAAAATTTAAGATCAAATGTGTCACAATTAAAAAG